TCGGGCTGTCACCGAAAGCGCGGCCGCCTCTGAGGGGAGCCCGGCAGGTGACACTGAGCAACAAAGGAAGGGCAGGGGACGAGGGGCTGCAGAGCTCGGCTGCGCACTTTGCCCCTTCAGCCCTGCCTCACTGCCCAGCTATCACTGTTAATACCCGCTCTTCTTATTTCGATTCAGCAGTCGATAATTCTTTTTTTTTTCTTTATTTGGAACTCCCAAATAGCTGCCAGTTTAATATCAACCAGTAGTATAACGGTGTTGCTTAGACTCGTGGTATATTCTCCACCTTTCCTTTGTGAGCCATGTGGAAGAAAATCCTACTATGGCTTCTGAATTTTCTCGTTGCGAGAGGGCTTATGAGATAAGATAGCACTTCGCTGTATAAGAGAGTTGTGATGCTCGTAGGAACAAAAAGCTCTCCAGCAGATGTGGAACATACCCCAAATATACTTATTTCCCACGAAAAAGCAGTTTAATCTTGGAATGCTAAGAAAGGGTGAGATCATCATGTCTATAAGAAATCATTAGCTTGTAACAAAATAATTTATTATTATTGACAGGTCATGATTTGGAGAGGAGGCACTTCTGCTCTAGGTGTGAACCAGCAAGAGTTTTGGTATTTTTCAGTAAGGAAGTTGGTGGCAGCCTGGTCGTGTTTACATCTTCGATACTTAGCTGAGGGCCATGGTGAGCCCAGGAAGTAGCCTGGGTCCTGTGAGGCTGCGAAACATCAGAATGTTACATGTTTGTGCAGATGTTAGGTGTCACTTGCTTTCCTTCATTCCTTAGGTAAGAACTCAGATTTTAAGCTAACCTTGTGACTTGGTGAGCTGGGGACCTTCATCTCACCCTGTGTGAGTTCACCAGGTCTCTGCTCAAGTTTGAGGGTCTGCTCAGATAAAATTGCAGGTTTGTGCTATGGCAGGATACTTAGTCGGGAAGGTAGCAGTAAAGCAATTTATTGCCTGTGTCATATTTTTATTTAGTACTTACACTTTCCTAAATATGCCTTGGGAGCTTAAAAATAAACAAGGAGTACAAATGTTGTTCTTTGCATCCAATGGGCAGTGGCTCTTGTGCTGATGTCAGTCTTCTGCCGCTCAGTATGCAGGTCCCTTCTTCAATTTTATGGCTTTCTCTAGCAATTGCCAAGTCTGGCCAGTGTGCACATAGCTGGCCAGATTCTTAGTTCTTTCACAAAAATGACAGCTGAATCTGAAAGATGCAAGGATTTTTCCCTTCTCATTGCCATCCCTTTGTGTCTTGCTCTCGTTCACAAAGAATTATTCAGAATTATTTGTGAACTCTAAATGCTACAGACAACAGAATTTACAACAGATGTTGTGTAAGAAAACAAGCTTGGTGCAACAAACTAAGTTCACTTAACAGTTTCTTACAACATCCTTGCACAATAGATAACCTAGTCAAGAAGAAGGACTGGTAATAAGCAGGCTGATTAAATGCTTGTATGAAAAGTCAAAGTATCTTTGGGGTTATGGGGAGGGAAATGCCTTACCATTTACAGTAGGATTAAAAGCATATACTGAAAAATAAATGCCCATGCTTATTAAGTAGAAGTCATCAATTATAGGCTCAAGAGGTGGTTTCTTTGCACCATTC